ATAGATGATGGATGGATGGGTTGTCGTTTACATCCCTCCCTTTGTTACCATGGCAACGCATCATCCACTCTGTTCCCAAGAGACGAAGCATCCCACTGCTTTCCTGTAATTCTTGCTTTTTTACAGCTATCACAACCTTGAGTCAGTTTTTGTTTAAGTTTTTGTGGATGTGATTCTGGTTCTGAGGAACCCTTAGCTATCTTCATTAGTAAGGTGATGCTACTAATATAGCCATAAATCTGAGAACAAATCCAATCTAAGAAGGAAAAAGTAATGACATAGATATCTTCCGGTTATTTTATGATTTCTAGGTCAGTTCATGTACATCCTGCAGAGCTTTCCTGACTCGTTGTGCAGCCACAGAGGGATTTCCTGTGCTCCTCGGTGTGATTTCTGCTTCTTCTTCTTCTTTCACTGTCATTATTACCTTCTTTATTCGCACACTCACCTCAGCTTCACCTCAACTATAAGCTGCAGCTTTCAGTTGGCTCTGAGCCAGCTAATGTTGAAACTACCCAAGAAACGTCTGCTGTGGTTGCCAGTTACTCCCAAAAACCTGCAATTAGGGCGCTGTGCGTCATACGGTCCGTATCTCTGGCACACTTCTTCCTATATTGGTGTGAATGTGCACAAAGTAAAGCTGAGCATCGTCACTTGAATGCACAATATATTTACAGGAGCGAGAAAATAGCAACTATCCAAAAACTCATGGTTTAGAATAGTCGGTTATAACCCCAAATAACAACAGTTTGCATTTTGTATTTTCTTCGAGTGATTTCATTTGTTAATGATCTTTTGTTGTTGCTCAGTGATGATAAAGAGTCCCTTTTTAACTACCAGAGTCATGATGGAAGAATGAAGTCAGCCTCGCCTCCTCTGATATAAAAGTAGGAATGAGCATGTAGAGACAAGAGAGGGAGGAAATGCACGCCTCTGGAAAATTACTGCAACTCGTAAAGGGGTGGTGTACGTCTGACGGGATCCTGTACGTCTGATCCTGATCCTGGTCTACGGCCGTGTCTGCCATGTGGTTCTAAGCCTCATTTATTACACTGAATAAACAGTACAGCTGCGGAAAATGTACAGTTTATTACTGCAACGAATCGGGGCTTTAAATGTCAGTTTAAACACACTTCATAAGCAGTGATGTTCAGGAAAACATTGCAAACCAGATAGAAAAGTTGTCTTCGGCTGTGAAGTTAATTTGTTTCTATGACTTTAGCTGTGT